TTTTTTTTTTTTTTTTTTTTTTTTGAGGAGTTTCACTGTCACCAGGCTGGAGTGCAGTGGCACAATCTCAGCTCACTGCAGCCTCCACCTCCCAGGTTCAAGCGATAATCCTGCCTTAGCCTCCTGAGTAGCTGGGACTACAGGTGCGTACCACCACGCCCAGCTAATATTTTTTGTATTTTTAATAGAGACGGGGTTTCACCGTGTTGGCCAAGATGGTCTCCATCTCCTGATCTCAGGTGATCTGCCTGCCTCCACCTCCCAAAGTGCTGGGATTACAGGCATGAGCCACAGCACCCAGCCCTCCTCTGTGGGTCTTTAGAGAAGTCATGCCAGCGGCGCCCAGAGTGGTGCCAGGGGGCAGCCTGTGCCCTTGTTTTGGGGTTCACTGTTAGGTGATGTTGGTAGGAGCCACCTGAGAATAGGATGGGGATGGGAGAGTAGAGACTCCATAAGCCATTAACTCCCAAGGGAGCTCATCCTTGCGGTGGGGGCATGCAGGATGGGATGACGGATCCAGGAGGTGCGATGGCCACCAGCAGATACGGTGAGTCAGCGGCATGAGAGCAGCACAGCCCCAAATCATCCAGGCTTCGCCAGCACAGACCCCGGCCTGGGTGCTGTGGGGGTGCATGGATGCTCCCTGCCTTGTCCCTGAACACAAGAAGGCACCTTCCGGCTGGGACCGAAAGCCAGAGAACAGTAAAACCGAAACACAGCAGTTCAGAATGGAAGATGTCCCGGGCCCCAGGTGATAAAGGCCCAGCTGGTTACAGATGCCCAGAGCTGGGAAGCCTTCCTGAAGGAGGAGGCTTGAGTGGGGCCTACAGCCAGCTAGGGAGCACCTCGGAGGTCCTTCCAGGGGTGCAACGGAACCCGAGGCGAAAGAGAAAAGCAAACCGTATCAGCCACTGTGCTTCCTTCCTCTGGGCTGTGTGCTGGGGTCACTCCAACACTGCACCTCCATGTTTACCTAGTGAGCATCTCTTCCGGGAGGTGGAGGTTCGGGTCCCAAAGCCACAGCTGGAAGGGGTACACACGGCCCTCTTGCCCACTGGTGGGTCCCAGCATCCAGCAGCTGGGAATGCTCTGTCTCTACTAAAAATGCAAAAACAAAATTTAGCTACTCGGGAGGCTGAAGCAGGAGAATCACTTGAACCCGGGAAGCGGAGGTTGCAGTGAGCCAAGATTGCGGCATTACACTCCAGCCTGGGTGACAAGAGACTCCATCTAAA